ACACAATTTTCTTACCGTTAAGAAATAAACTTTAATGTATCATAGAGTTTTATATCATCAAAATGTCTTAATTATAGTGAATTTGAAGAGTAAAACGAAAAGTTTCATTCCATATAGGAATAATAACAATTGCCAATAAGCACTTAAAGTTAACAGTAAAACATTTCTCTATTTAGCAGAAAGCGAAACGAAGTGTCAATGCATAAACCTTATATTTTCTGCATAAAAGAAATTCATCAAGCCAGCAAACATAACTATGATTACATTTAATAAGATCATTAGGAATATTATAATTCGATTAAACTGATTTTCGGCATGTTTATGTTTGACTGAAAAAACATAATTTCAGAGGATTTTATACATTAATTTTACAAAAGCTTGTTACCCTTCTTAAGATATAGGCGGCCGACCATGGATTTCCAACCTACTTTTTCTGCAACTCGCCTTTTCCACTGTTACCAGATGCTCTTTATGCACTGGATGGATGCCTTCAGTTCTCGGAGCCATGTGTTACTTGACACGACTTTTCCCTTTGCCTTAAGAATTCCAAGTTAAGACTTGCTTTGCAACGCACTTTACTGGTTTTCTAATTTCTTAATCAAGTGAAAGATGGTTAGTTCTCCACCACAGTTGATCATTATAAAAGATGTTTAATCAATGGATCTGGAGTATCTTGAGTAGACAATTGTTTATAGATACCTACACGTTTTTGACGATGGTTGTACTAGTTATCCTAGTTCCTGCTCTGTACAATAAAAATAACTGAACGTCGGTATCGAAAATTCCCACTGTGTTGTTTGTTGACAGTTGTTTTGGGTTCTAGATACTCTTCAGTTGTAGGGATCCTGCCTTTGGTTTGCATCTCCACCACACTCTCCTTGTTTATCAATGATACCGTCCAGATATATGAAAGCTTTCACGTCTTTCAAAGCTTCAGTGTCTTGTGAGTTGGCCGATGCTCGTTCTTTTACACTTCATGACCCTGCTGTTTCCCGTACGAATGTTGATACTTACTTCTACAGACACTGCAGCTACACTGGCTGTTTTCAGCTGAATTTGCTTCTGAATATGAGATATAAGAGCTTAGCCATCTAAGAATTCCAAGCAGTTCACTCTTATCCTCTGAAATTCTTAATCTTACTGAGATCTGCTTTTCTCCGTTATCTTGATGATACATCTCACTTTCAGGTGCATTGGTATTTAATCTTACTCCCAAATCTTTCTGGAGATAATTTAAAACATCTTCACTGCTACCTCTATATCTAACCTTAATGTTTCTGCTGGAAGGCTGTTGTTTGTCCGATTGCCCTACTAATTTCTTCTATTGTTGATGGAGGAAGGTTTACGTGCGTCACATTAGTATCCCGTAGGTTCACTGGGGTTGGCCAATTCAAGAACTCTTTAAAATCTTCAACATATCATTTCCGTCATTCTTGGCACACAATAATTAGATCTCCTTTCTTTTCCTAACTGGTCGCTCTTATTTACAATATTTCCCTGATAGCTTCTTAGTTGTAAAATATATTCCTGTCATATTTCCTTCTCTTACAGCTTTTTCTGTTATTGTTGTTCCCGGGTCTTCTACATATTTTCATCTGTTGGCTCCAAATTCCTTTTTCAGTCACCCAGTTCCCAGAATTTCTTTTTTCATGTTCGTCTGTTGTTGATGATTATTATCTTCTTGACTTTCCCTTCTTGAATTTTGTCCGGGGTAACTATGGAGCTGCATCAGTTCTTCCCTTTGTTCTTACATCTTCCATAGATTTTCTGAATATTTTATTCATACATTTGTGGTCAATCTTATTCTCTAATGAAACCCGTATAGTTTAGTCCATGCGTTTGTGAGGAAAAATGGTGCTGCTTATAACTATTTTGATGGAGTTTTGTTCACTGAGCCGGATGGTTTGGTCGTAAAGCTTTCATCGTTCTTCCGAACGACATCCTCAGGAAGAACTTCAGATAGAAGCTCCTCGACCGAACCATCCAGCTCAGAGAACAAAACTCCATCAAGATCATCCACCTGAGCTACAAATCTTCTCCACCATCTCAAAGCTTGTAACTATGCTTTTTGAGAGCGCATGGATCTATCATCCTCTCACTATTCTCCTTCATTTCTCCCAGCCCTTTTTGTCACACATTGCGTTAGAACAAACTGTTGTTCATACTGATAAGGGCGTTCAACTACCCCATCAGAATAGTCAGGCCTTTTCCTAGACTGCTCTATGCAATGGGTTGCAGCCTTTCATAAAACTTTTCTTTATCGGCTTTACTGCTACCATTGGTGAGTGAGTTGCACTGGATGACATCCAGTGTACTCTTTTCCTTTGCTTTGAGTAATGTCCTGATAACCTTGGAACCATGAGTTATCCACTTTTTAAGCGCTTTTAACGTTTCTTTTGGGGATCATCAGTGCAACTCCTTGCACTTCTTCTTTACCATGATACAATAGCAGCTCTCCTGAAGTTATTCTTTTCTGTCTGGATTGTATTCAATGAGTTTTAAGTTGTACAAACGCAAAGAGGTTGTATCTTCTCATCCTTACGGCTGTCTGAATGACCCTGAAGGTTCCCTATAATGTCTGAACGTTTCGTTTACATTTACTCGTTATTGTTCTGATTTTCAGGAAGGGTATCAGACCCGCGTCTTTCGGTAATTCCCGGCTTTTGCCATCAGGCATTATAACTTTTCTAAATGAATATCTCTCGATCTTCAGGGTGAAGTTCAATAGGTTAAACTATTTATCGCTAGTTAGCATTTTTTTGTCGTTGCGTGATTCCTTGTTACGAGATGGAATTGTTAGTCCTAAACCCAATCCTCTCCCTTTACGTGGGCATGAGGCAGGCAGCATCCGAAACTCCACAACTCTAAAATTTATAATAATCAAATTTCCTATTTTCTCTTTTTTTTCAAAAGACAACAAACCTTTGGAAAACAATAATTCAATAAAGGAAATAAAACTAGAAGAATGAAAATTTATTACATTTTATTCATAGTTTTATATCTGTTTGTATTATCTACTGGACATATGGATGATGATATTTATCAGTCAGAAAATGGGCTCTATCTTACATATCCTTACATGTCGGATGATCATATGATAGATATTCTGGATAGTAAAGCAAAACACTCTGCGTTTGGTAAGTTTCAATTTGATTATGAAATGTAGTAATTTTTTACGTTCGAATAAATAAATCATTTCAAAATCTTTTGTTATAGGTACTGATAGAAATCTTGAATATGGTGCAGATTGTTCACTTATATTAATTTTAAAAAAAGGTTATTAAACAATTTCACTGACTTTCGATTCGAACCCTTTATGTTCCATAGGTTTAACGATAGTATAGTTAGGCCATTTTGTTTTTAGACAAAATTGTGATTTTAATTTTTTGTAATGAATTTATTCAACATCTCAACTTTGTCAAAATTGACCGATGGGGGTCATGTAGTAGATAAAACTACAACATTTATAATAAGTTATCGAATGCCTTCAAATTTTCAGGTATCTTGCGTAAGGCGAAAGTTATGGGGATTCGAGATAACTCACCTAGTCCTTCTATTAAAAAAAAGCCTATGATATCTCTGTCTATTCCTTGACGAGAGGAAACATAACCGAAGATATTACTAATTCTTTCTACCATCCGTTTGTATCTTTGCATTCTTTGACTGATTATACACATATTTCTCACTACTTAATTTTTAATACCTATTATTTTAGTTTGTTCTTCATGCTTTGACCTACTTCCTATGTCAGTATATTTAGATACATTGTCAGGCTACTTATTATTATCTTTCACTTTAATATCACTATGTATTATTTATTTATTATGATTAGTTACGCAGTCCATCTTCATAGTCCTCACTGATTCACAAATTGCCTTGCTGGGCTTTTGCACATAAATATTATTGTAAATGAAAGTCTGATTAAAATCCAATTAAAAGCGACATCGATCGTTTATATGAGTTCTTCATATTCGTTTCATTATATCTAATTCATAGAAAGGTTGAAACCAACAACATCCTTCTCGGTAAGCCGAATATCCGTGTTCGCAGTAACTCAATCCAATTGATTTCGCTAGCTCCACTATCAAACCAACTACAGTTATAATCAATTCATTCTTACATGTTTATTATCAATATACATCTATTTGCTTTTAGTTATCTATTGTTTCTATTTGTCTTTTGACCAAATGTGTTCAACTAACTTACTGAAAATGTAATCTGTTAACTTAATAACAATCCCCTAAATATTATCTTTATAGATATTAATATCAAGGTTGAACTTGGTAGTTTCAAATAAATTGAGCATTGGATAGAAAGCTAATAATAAATATATTTTTTGTTATATCCTAATAAGTAGAAAATTGTAGTTCTTACGTTTCGTAACTTAATGTAAGCCACTTCTACAGAGCAAATAAATAACCGAACTAACTTAACACAAGTTTAAATAGTAAGAAGGAAACAATACAGAATATTTTTAGTACAATCAAAATCACAATAGGTTTGAATATGTCAGTGTCAAGTTATCCTTAGTTAACGTGAATTTGTATGACCTGTCACTATTAATTTGTAAGTTAGAATGTGGGTATGAAAAATGTATATAGTTGTAATATGAAGTAGTGGTGTTGAAATTATGTACGAGTGTGTGTGTAGCTTATGTGGAAAATAAATAGCCAAATGTTGTTGTTTGAATAAACAGTCCAGGTTGAATGAATCTTTAGACCTTTTCTATTGAGGGCATAGGGATTTAGCATTATATGAAACGCTCCTACTACTCGCCTCTTTGGAAAAACCTTTTTGGATTATTTTGATGCTTCTAACATCAATTTGGTGATTAATGAAAATATCATTTACTTCTATAGCTGATTTAATCTATAAACTGCCCAAATCTACTGGATTATTAAGTCTTTTTGTGTAACTTATATGTCCAAAATAAACCACTATGTATATATATATAAATGTCATGAAATAAAACGCCCCTATTGTTATTTTTTGTTTAATATTTTCACCTCTTTTCTTTTCATTTACATGTTCAATGAATATTCATTGTTTCTGCGTCCAATGATTGAATATTCAAGGAACTAAACAAAAATGGTATCCAAATGATCTAGAAAATTTAGATAAGAACAAGGTGTTTTACGTCCATCGTAGACGATTCACTCGACCATATGGTCGATAAGCACAAACAGAAATAAATAAATGAAAATCAAATCAGAAATTGTTCATTACTTCTTTCTTTTTTATGAAAAATAACGAAATATATTAGTGGATTTTCTGCATAAATTCAATTGAAGATGTTGTGTATTTATTATAATGAAATAAAATGTTGATTCATTCAAGATTTGTATTTTGAAAAAAAATAAACTTTTAGTAGTTATTCAATAAATAATAATAACTATTCAGCTGGTAATATGTATTACATCAAAGTAGAAATAAGATGCATCTAAGCATTCACTGATGAAAGATACATACATGCAGTTGTTGAACGATTTGAACAAAAGAAAACACCACATTTTTCATCGAAACAACAATCATGATCAGGTAAAAGAACCAGATTTAATTAGTTGTCAACGGTTATTTATATGACGAATAAAAAGGTATTAGACGAGTATATGGTCAATTGAAAATTGACAAACAACTGTTATCTAAATCAGATTCCAATAAACTGTGAGACTAATATATTGGCTACCACGAAAGGTATGATCAGTATATCATCTTGTAATCACAAAAATTAGTGAAATTTCACACTACAATCTGTATTGACCGGCATAGAAACCATTCATTTAGAGATGTTAATACTCAATAACGAAGAATCAAATATATTTATTATTCAGAAAGCTACCATTATAAACAGCATTTATGAATGTAGAAATTTATATTTATTAAACAGTTTCATGCTCTGAGTACAAGTAGAAAAGATCAAGATCATATAGGTGTGCGATTCCATCCTCAATGTAGCATATGGTTGACAATCAAATGAAGTCACTTTTCAGAAGATGAATCCTTATAAATAAACCGTAATAACTGTATGAGGGGGAGAAAAAAGGCTGTTGTATTAAAGACTGAGAAACTACAAGAGAGATTATTGATGATCAAAACTTCAGTAAAATATAACAATTAACAATTCCCATAGAGAACGGAAATGTTCATGTATTCTGTAAACCAGTCTGAATTTACTGCCATAATTAACCATCGGTAAATACAATTACATGTAGTCAAAGGTTTTCAGGATTTGACGAGATACTGTATTCGGGAATAATGCATGTACCATGAACATATCCACAAATTTCTACTTCACCATTATTAAGCAATATCGTTCGTCGTACTAGATGTCTATTCATTATCAAAGAAAAATGATATTCGATCACTGAATAACAGTTTTATTTGAAACTATCTTACACTATTATGAATACTTTAGAAATCTACCCACTAAAGACGTAAACCACTGGTAACAGTGATTTGTAATTTGGAAATTCGCATCACTCTGAAATACTATGTCAACATCTATTTTGATTTCCAAGTGAATTAAAAGACTAATTTAATTTAGAAAAGCATGAATAACTTTATTTGTTGTTTAATTTTTTGATTACATTGTGTTGACAAGCTGTCGAAACTGTACTCCTACTCGTTGATCCTTTGATCCACATCCATATAAGTGTGTTTGGTTATTTAGATCCTGAACATTTGTCGCCACATTTACAATTGCCAGAGGTGCAGTCACAGGTCGATCCGCAACCACATTTTCCTTCACAGCAGTCTTCAATGAATAAAATATTCAACCGATCATTTAGTGCAAGAATTTCGATAAAAGGAATTACAAAACTTCATGAAACATCAATGTTATAGCTATTTCGAAATAGTCTTATCCCTCAGTCAGCATGGAACATAGTCGAACGCTCCAGTAAATAAGCTGAAGCATCGCTTTCTCTACTCAATATTGAACCTCAAATAAATAACTAATGTTAAACGCTCTAATTACACATATATAGTGTGTGGAGTTGGTTGTAATCATAATAATATTGGTAGTAACAACGATAGGCTTTTTATAGATTGATATGGAAATTGCTGATCAATAGGTGAGTGAACACAATGAGAATATTGATATTCAGTGCCTCATTCTCATCTGGCAACTATCCACATTTCCTCCGATCCACTACTAGTGCTCTAGATGGTATGAGATTTTCATGAAAATCATCATAAGTGGTAGGAACTAATTAAGAGCATTTCCATATGCGAAGCTCCATCATCTACTATATACTGCATTTGGAATACAGAGAAGAGTACAAATCATCTACAATTGCTAACATTGTCATTGCTAACAAGTTCAAATCCTGAAGGAAATCTAGGATTAGCAGTCCCATTCTCATAGTCATCATCATTAAACATATTACAATATACAATATTGTGTTTACTTACCAGACATTGTATTAGCTCAAATGTATAAATTGTACAACATTTATGACACGTTTATTTTCATTTATATACAATTCATTCAGTTTCACATAAAACCAGTGCATTTTCACATTTTTGGAATTTATGTTTTAGTCAATCAATATTTGTTAGGTGAACATGGTATACTCGTATAGTTTGTGAATAATCGACGAAAAAAAAACAAACTTTCGATTGTATGTGAAATGTCTGACTGATCATATTGTGGGTACACACTGGTGAGAGAATAATAGAGTTAATCAATTTTTCTCTGTTCGCCATGGAGTCATAACTATACCAAAGTGCATTATTTACCAAACAAATATTGATTGACTAAAACATAAATTCCAAAAATGTGAAAATGCACTGGTTTTATGTGAAACTGAATGAATTGTATATAAATGAAAATAAACGTGTCATAAATGTTGTACAATTTATACATTTGAGCTAATACAATGTCTGGTAAGTAAACACAATATTGTATATTGTAATATGTTTAATGATGATGACTATGAGAATGGGACTGCTAATCCTAGATTTCCTTCAGGATTTGAACTTGTTAGCAATGACAATGTTAGCAATTGTAGATGATTTGTACTCTTCTCTGTATTCCAAATGCAGTATATAGTAGATGATGGAGCTTCGCATATGGAAATGCTCTTAATTAGTTCCTACCACTTATGATGATTTTCATGAAAATCTCATACCATCTAGAGCACTAGTAGTGGATCGGAGGAAATGTGGATAGTTGCCAGATGAGAATGAAGCACTGAATATCAATATTCTCATTGTGTTCACTCACCTATTGATCAGCAATTTCCATATCAATCTATAAAAAGCCTATCGTTGTTACTACCAATATTATTATGATTACAACCAACTCCACACACTATATATGTGTAATTAGAGCGTTTAACATTAGTTATTTATTTGAGGTTCAATATTGAGTAGAGAAAGCGATGCTTCAGCTTATTTACTGGAGCGTTCGACTATGTTCCATGCTGACTGAGGGATAAGACTATTTCGAAATAGCTATAACATTGATGTTTCATGAAGTTTTGTAATTCCTTTTATCGAAATTCTTGCACTAAATGATCGGTTGAATATTTTATTCATTGAAGACTGCTGTGAAGGAAAATGTGGTTGCGGATCGACCTGTGACTGCACCTCTGGCAATTGTAAATGTGGCGACAAATGTTCAGGATCTAAATAACCAAACACACTTATATGGATGTGGATCAAAGGATCAACGAGTAGGAGTACAGTTTCGACAGCTTGTCAACACAATGTAATCAAAAAATTAAACAACAAATAAAGTTATTCATGCTTTTCTAAATTAAATTAGTCTTTTAATTCACTTGGAAATCAAAATAGATGTTGACATAGTATTTCAGAGTGATGCGAATTTCCAAATTACAAATCACTGTTACCAGTGGTTTACGTCTTTAGTGGGTAGATTTCTAAAGTATTCATAATAGTGTAAGATAGTTTCAAATAAAACTGTTATTCAGTGATCGAATATCATTTTTCTTTGATAATGAATAGACATCTAGTACGACGAACGATATTGCTTAATAATGGTGAAGTAGAAATTTGTGGATATGTTCATGGTACATGCATTATTCCCGAATACAGTATCTCGTCAAATCCTGAAAACCTTTGACTACATGTAATTGTATTTACCGATGGTTAATTATGGCAGTAAATTCAGACTGGTTTACAGAATACATGAACATTTCCGTTCTCTATGGGAATTGTTAATTGTTATATTTTACTGAAGTTTTGATCATCAATAATCTCTCTTGTAGTTTCTCAGTCTTTAATACAACAGCCTTTTTTCTCCCCCTCATACAGTTATTACGGTTTATTTATAAGGATTCATCTTCTGAAAAGTGACTTCATTTGATTGTCAACCATATGCTACATTGAGGATGGAATCGCACACCTATATGATCTTGATCTTTTCTACTTGTACTCAGAGCATGAAACTGTTTAATAAATATAAATTTCTACATTCATAAATGCTGTTTATAATGGTAGCTTTCTGAATAATAAATATATTTGATTCTTCGTTATTGAGTATTAACATCTCTAAATGAATGGTTTCTATGCCGGTCAATACAGATTGTAGTGTGAAATTTCACTAATTTTTGTGATTACAAGATGATATACTGATTGTACCTTTTATCTTTACGAATATAATCTCAGTCATTTACTTTATATAATCTACTTGTAAATCCGCGGTAAAGTACTTTCAATTATTTTTTGTTAAATATAGCCTTATAATAATTAATCTGTTTCATTTATTTCTTGAAATTCCAGAGAAATGTTCTTTCGTCTTCTAAGAATTCATAGCTAATATATCTACGGAATCGTAAAATGAAATGAATTCAAGAGTAGTTAAACATAATTGCAATGTAGAAAGGTGGTGTGATTCTAATTGACCGCTATCGATCGACCGTTTGGATTAATGTGAATGTTGTGGCCTATAGGTAATTTTTCACAAATCCAGATTATCTATACGGATAACCTATAGCAAATAAGTGTCAGAAGACAAGATGCCTCACCAGTGGAAATAATGCGTTTCATATGGTAAATTGCAGCATATTGTGGCTTGGTTGAAGTTAGACATTAGTACCGTTGGATTCCAGCTCAGTAGTCTCGAGATTAAGTGATCTTACGCGATTCCGGAGGTCCTGGGTTCGAATCCCGCGTGCGGGATAGTGGATGTGCATCACTTAGGAGTTCTGTTCTTTAAGGAAACGGCCGTCCAGTGCTTCCAGATTTTCTATGGTGGTCTAGCTTTAAGTGACTCATGAACTCAATTATTAAGTATCTAGAAAATATTTTTAAAAAGTAAGCATAATTAATATTCATTTGAAACATAAGTAATTATCGAATTTCGCTTTTGCGGGTCAATCACCAGCTTTGAAATTTAGTTCCGATTATCAAGTTTAAATTTTTGGTCGTTATATTGCATAAACCACGATAATTGGAATGTAACACTCGATAATTACAAACCTTTTAAGTACAAATTAAGTAAGAGTAATGAATATGTTCTATAATACAATATTACCGAAAATCATCATTAGCAAACGCGAAAGATAGAAATGACGTCGTTGTTCAGATTAAGTTATCATCTTTACTCGAAAAAAACTTAAGCAGAAAAACAAAAGTCTTACAACCGTACAAGACCCAGTAATTAGTTAACTTGAATGATTATTTAACTTTAAAATAGAACTGTTAATAATTATTATGACATTACTCTTGCGGCAAACTGAATGTCGCTTGTTTAAGGGACTCAATCACTTGTCAAAGATAACAGTTTCGATACGACTTGATAGAACTTTAAAACGTTATTTTGTTCTTCATTATTTTTATTGTTAATCGTTTTACACTGAACCAATGTTTTAGTAATTTATTATTGACCGCTATTTCTCGATTAGTTACTGCCACCTCCTTTTAATTTGTCTTACTGACCAGCAATATCCAGACGATCCTTAATGATCATTTGGTGACCTCAAGTACGCAACTACTTTCATCGTGTTTGGTATTGATTCAAACGGCCATCGATTCTGGTGGGTGAGTATTTTAGAGCCAGTGAAATGTTACTAGGCCCTAGCTAAAACATCCAGCAGCCGGGCGCTGAATATTGATCAATTTACCGATCCCATTCCAGGCGATGGACAACCAAAGCTCATCAGTTAACTGAACACCATGGACTGTCCTATGGTGTGGCATTCCCACTCTGTTCCTTATACCTGCTCTTACTAATATATTTCTGTAATAACGTCTTTTGCTTTGTACAGTCATCAAGGTAGCCATGGTATCTGGATACGACGAAAAGGTAATCCACATGATGTACTAACCGTGATGTGTGGCTCCAACGTTAGCTTGCCCTTGTAATCATTCAATACAGATTATCTAGGTTAGTGATCTACATGTGTATGTTTTGTATTCCACATACTGTGCTGTGCCACATGGTGTTTCCCTGCCTAGCTTATGGTGTGTTGGACTAAAAGGTAAATAAATAGGATGGTTTGTACATACGTTTTGTATAGTTTGAAGGCAGGAGAAGATTGTAGTTTATGGATGACCGATAGATGATACTAAAGTCTCATCAAGAAATTTTAACTAATGAATATGTTAGAAACGAGGTTATGAACCGTTGTGACCGATTAGTCCTAAAGGATATGATTTGGACATACATTTATTATTTCCATCACGAACCGTCACCGGGTATAATTCAAGAATGCTACGCAGCCATTTGAATAAATTAATCTCCAAAGTAAAAACGGTGCCACCTGAAATATGATTGACCCTTTGAACTCCACTCCCGCTTATTTAAAAATTCGTAATTTTACTATACGTCAGGACATGCAATGTGTTTCGGTCGATTTTTGTGTTATGGTGATGTACCCGCACCAGGTCACCACCGATTATGCCGTTCTACGTATCCTCTGAAACTTCTAGCCAGCTAAGTTTACATACTTTTGGACGAACCGAAGACTTTCCAATATATCTTCAAAATCCCTCATTCTTGACTTCTATTTGACAGGTTTTGAGGTAGTTGATTGTCAAGCAGTGAATATCCGTAACATCATTGACGACGAGCCTAACGTGTCTTTGTACACTGAACTATAAACAGTGAATCTGTTACCTGTTGTAACGTAACAAATTTTTACATACCGTGATATTCAAGTTGCGTTCTCAGACGGTCAGTGACCTTCCGACGAGAGCCTTTCTATACGCTTCTTCCTATCTAAGCCTCCACAACAAGTGTAAGCTGTTCCCGTGTCATTCCAACATAAAGCCGTAGACGAACCGACTTCATTTGACAACTAGACCCTGAAGATTACCGGAGCCCTCGACGCTGAGGTCTGTTCTATCAAACAAAACAACAAGTCGGTCACCACTTTCGGCAAAAGGTATATTACCTTAACAAGAGTTTGCCTACACGCATTTGCTTGATATTCGTTGTTGCAAAAGAGCCAATGCCGATGATTTCCACAGATCTGCTACAAAACATGAAACACTTAACGACTCAACTAAACAGAAAACCACGTTTTTTATTTGCACACTTCCACTTTCTGATAGGTTATAACCAGTGATAAGTACTTCCAGCCGATACACAACAAGTATTCCGAACTGCACAAAACGCGATTGCACGCTGTTTAAAGGAACAATGTTATTTTCCTTGCTGAGTTAAATTAATAGTTTTGATCGAACATTACGGACCAAGACTACCGTTTTCATTTAGTTAAAGTAAAATGAATAATACGGTTCTTTTAAAAACATTTTTGCATAAGTACTGTTATTAAGAAAATTGGTTTTTTGTTCGCCAAACTTTTGGATTTAACAGTTTAACTTTTTTATTATCGGTTTTGTCGTCACGTGATTTGATGTCCGAATCATTTGAAAGCTTCTGATAAGTAACTGGACGGTGATAAACAAGCAACTGCCAACTTCTAGGCTGTCGATGCCCTGTAAAAAATGGCATGACGTGTGATTAGTGCAAAGTATGGTATCACAAGGTTCGGATAAATCTGACGCCTGCGGCATTCAATCGATTAAATTAAAATGGATGTTTCAACAATCCTACTGGGATGTGAACAGCCTGTTACTCGAGGCCACTGCATTGGTGAACGCTGCCGCAAGGCTTATTAGGAAGTGTAATGGAAATGGATCTAACAGTACTAGCTTTGTTAACGTATAGCTCAGTGACAAAGCTTCCCAAATAAGCTCAGAGTTGACTGACACGGGCCAAAGGTAAACGCATCAATTTCAAGGTAGCCTGTGAGAAACGAAAAATAAAAAAGATTTTTCCTGTACACTTCAGCAGACAGGAAACGTCCAAAAAACCTAATCGGAAGTCTGCAGCTGCATTTGTTCCTAACCACACACTCTTCGAGGCTGGAGTAATTTGCATTCCACATGTAGCACTCAGAGCAGGTCAACATTGGTGAGCGCGGGGGCAGAGAACCAAAATAGCATGGATCAGTTATGTAGGCGTGGTCTCTCTACGTGTAACCTATTTTACTTTCTGTCAAATATATGACACTACCCAGCCTAAATATATTCTTCAAAAGCGTTAGACGTTATATTGCTGATTGTCACGATAGGACAAGTCAGTGTAGACCAGATCAAATACTCATATCATAACGAATCAACAATTCTGGGATAAGGCAGATAGTGCTAGTGCTGATATCTATTCAGACCATATTCTCAAACGTCTAAGTTTTTACAGGAAGAGAAAACAACGTGACCACTCAAGCCATTGACAGTCGTCCAGGATCTCACAGTGTGTGTACCGTGACTGTGATTGCTAATTCAGTGAAAGATGATGAGTGTTAACAAGTCAAAAATAAGAGAAGACCTGATGTCGCTAAACAAAAAAAGTCTCCCAAAAAGCATTTGAAAAGTCTAATCCTGGTTGTAGTGACAGGTCAGTTGTTTTTTATAGGGTCAAAAAGAATGAAAACCCAGAACCTAGGACACGCTTTGAGCATGACGGTGAGTTAACAATAAGTCTAATGCGTGAGGTCATCTCCGGGGTCTTGCAGCTTGCGAATCGCATAAAAAACAAGAAGCTGAATTAAATTTAAAACTAAGTTTAACGGAAAGAAAACGCTGAAAATCCCTTCACAGCATTTTGTTGGACAATAGTGTTACTTATTTGTTTCTTCACCCTTTGTTCAGATCTCTTCTAACCACAAATTTTGTTCTTTAGTCTTCTTCATCTGAGCTTTTGTTGTGTGATTTTGGTTAAAGACTTACCTTTTGTTACCTAATTGACAGCAAGGTCGTGTTTGACTAGGCCCAAGGTCAAGGCATGGCTCAGTGTGTGGCTGTTAACCCTTGACGATCTGCTTGGGAAGATTGCTGGAATCCCTGTAGATAGATATCCGATCCCATCTTGTTGGGAATATTTTTATCGATTCTCAGATATTGAATTCTTTTGTATTAACTGTTTATTTTGTTGTTCAGCATGCTAAATTGTGTTGGAAAAACTTTTGACTGTATAGCACAGACCGTACCGTTTGAGTTATTTTGTGTTTTGATATAATTTGTTCTATTTTCTAAATTAGAACCGTTTAAATTGAGCACAAAGTTTGTGTTTTGATATAATTTATTGCGAATAACTCAAAGACGCTTCGTATGCTATACAGAAGAACGTAGTCTGATCTAATCGAATGAATTTTGCTTCATTAGCTCTGCGTTCGAACCGAATATTGGCAGTTCGGTCGCTACAGTTGTCAAACGAACAGTAATCACAAGTGACGAACACTACAATGTCTGGCAAGCGCAATAAGACCAACGAAAACCTGGTGTTGGGCCAAGAAGTTGTGCAATCAGATGCACCTCCAGATATACGGCAAGCCTCTTTAGATGCATCTTCATGCCAAGGCTCTAATGTTAGTTTAGTAAGTCAACATAGCAAAATCAGCTCTGGGATCACCTTAGCAGAGTTAAAAGAAAGACAGTTAAGGGAAAGGTAATTATTAGAAACTAGAGACTTGAAAGATAAACAAGGGAAAAACTATTATGTCTTCAGAGGGAGCTCGGGTCGTTAAGGCTGAAAGAGAACATGTGTAGTAAAGTATCTTCTGCCTCCAATTGTGATGATAGAGGACTGGAGTATGTTCACAGTCTCGTAAGCTGTTCCCGTGACCTTAGAATCAAGTCCCCAGAAATGTCAAAACTGCTAGACTATCTGGAAACAAAGAAGAGAAAAGTGACGTTTTCATCCCTTAGTGTAGGTCTTGAGCTCCAAGAGGTAGAAATAAGTATTTTTGATGGGCAACCAGCTAAATACTAGAAATTTGTCAGACATTTCGAGTTATATGTGGTATCCAAGGTCGAAGATGATGGTCAACGGCTCTTATTCTCGTTACATTATTGTAAAGGAAAGGCTCGAGAGGCCGTAGAATAATGTTTCCACCATGGTTGGGTTATCGTAAAGCATATGATATACTGAAACGACTGTTTGGTAGAACATTCGAAGTCGGGCTTTGCTGAAAGATTTGACTGAAGGTTCCAATATTGTACGTAATGACGGAGAGGGTCTGTCTAGGTTAGCAGTAAAAACAGAAAAACGTTCTATAGCATTAGAGCAAATGGATTACTAATCAGATCTCGATTCCCTAGGAACTACAGAAAGCATGGTCAAGAAGTTGCCCACGGAGTTGCAGATGAAATGGACCGAAATAGTCAGAAAGGTAACAGTGAATGGGTGGGAGCCTTCATTTGCCGAGTTAACTGAATTTGTATCATCCAGAGCAGAAATATTACTCGGCAGGTTTGGGAAGATCGCAACATCTAGTAAACGAGTTGTGAGCAAAGCAGCCTGTTCCACACAAGAGTTGTCGTTCGGTAAAATTGTTAGCAAATCATTTTGTGTTATATGCGGAGAAGGTCACATGATTGATAATTGTTCCCAGTTTTCCACTTTAGCAGTCAAGGAAAGGTGGACGAAAGCTAGAGAAAAGGGCCTGTGTTTTTGTTGTCTTAGAAAGAGCCACAGATCAGTAGATTGTAAAGATTGTGTTGTGTGTACTATCGAAGATCGCCGGGATCGGCGTCACCCACTGCCGCATGAACCCATTACCGTTCAGGGCGCTTCGAGTGAGCGATTAGAAGAAAGTTACCGTGGATATGCAGAGTCATTAAAGGAGGATGTGTTTCTTGATCTAATTCCTGTACGCCTTAGAGCTAGGGATAAGGAAGTTTGTGTATATGCCTTTCTAGACAATCGCTCAGACATAACCCTAACAAAATCAAGTACGGTACGA